GGGAGTTGGAGCTCCTGGACAAATTCTGCACCAGTACAGGACGAACAACCCGACTCCACACAGTGGCCGTGCTCAGCATCCTTGGTTACCATGGTACTGATGACGTCAGCAGCACTTTTTTTCTTGAAGTCTCTCTGTGGTTATTTCTGACTTTGAGGGACTCCCACCGACTCTGTCGAGCTGCTAACAGCGCACCCAGTGGGCGACACCTACAGGTTCTGACCGAGTGAGAATGGGTTGGCTAAAAACGGCAGCAGTGTAGCGGAGTATGCCCACCGGACACCCCGCCATCTTTATTTTCACTGATCTAAAACCTGCTCTTAGAATTGTGAAAAACACTGTCCGTGCATCAGACGCCTACTCTTCATAAGGGCTCCCAACACTCATGAATTGACTGGAGTAACTTCAGAGTGCTGCGCTCGTCATGCGGAGCATTTTAAACGCATTATCCAGCCCACGGCCTTGAGTCCTCATTCTCAAAAGCATCTCTGAGTGCTTCTCTCTCTCTTGCTGTTTTATTCCACTGGTTTATGACAGTAGATTGTAGTCTGAGGATTATAAAGGCGGAGAGGGTTTCTGACCCTTTAGAATAGCTATACTGGAAGCTAGATGTTATTTGACATAGTGAGGGGGAGGACTGTGCAGTGTAAACCGCATCAATAAAGCGTGAGCAGAAATGGTTTCTGCAGTATGTCACTGCAAATGAAATACACAGAGTGGAGATGAATCATTGGTGCAGTTGTATATGAATATTTTTCACGAGCCAGATTTTATTCAGATACTGGTGTTTTGCTGTTTTCATCTTTATGTAAGCTAATTGAAATAATTCGATTCATGCTCACAAGTTTCAGTCTACAAAGGGCAAAACAATGAAAAACAGAGATTTACCAACTAGCAAGAAGTCTGGTTGTTTATTTTCAGCTGCGCCAATGTCCTCCCAGTGCCCAGAGACACGCCTGTCAGGAGGATGAACGTCAATTCATTGGTCACAGGTAGATAAACCTTTAAGAGGTCATTAAGACTAGAAAAGCACAAGAGAAGCACAAGCAGAAGTACATTAATCCACTAACACAGACCTTCCCAAAGTGTGGGGCCCTCCCCCTAGGGGGGCGCAGAGCCATTGCAGGGGGGGCGGGGTATGAAAGGGGGGGAACAAAACGCTTGGACACTGCTAGCATGGGGCGGCCACAGAAATGCAAAGCAGGAGCTGAAGCATAGCTGAATATGTTTACAAACCAACTTCATTCTAAGCCAAAGACTAGAAAATATTGTGAAGCAAATCTTCCCTTTGGTTTCACCTGCACAAGTGCCGAGGTAGGTCTCCCCTGCAGAATTGGTTTTCCCTTCGTCAGGAGCACGCGCTGGACTTTTCAAATCACGGGCAAACAGTATCCCAGATTCTTGCTTTTTAGTTCACAAACACTTGTTGTAATGACTAACTACTGACATTTTGGAGATGTTAGCTCTGTAATAATATCAGGCTGATCCTGCCACGATTTGTTCCCTCGGTTCAAATCACGTACAAACATTGTCCCATAGTTGTTTATGTTTTTAAACCCATTTTGCACAGA